CACCTCCCTGGTCGGGAATCGAACTCATGCTGAAGCAGCAGCAGCCAGTCTCCTGGTGCTATGCTTTGGCTTGCTGAGCCACTAGGGAGGGCCCCACACTTTAGGTTTCTAACAAAGTTTTCTTCATAGTGAAATATACCAAATATAAAGTTTGCCATTTAATGTTTGTAAGTGCACAACTTCCCGGCTCTAAGTATATTACAGGGCTGTGCAGCCTTCACCACTGTCCATTTCAGGACATTGTCATCATTGCAAACAGAAGCCCTACACCCATTCTAGAGGAACACCCCACCTGCCTATCTTCCAGCCTTGGTAATCACGATTCTGCTTCTGGTATCTATGAATCCACCTTTCTAGGTAACTCCGAAGTGGAATCACTCATGGCAAATTTATCCTTTGCGTTTGGTTTATCTCACTCAGCAACATGGTTTTGAGGTTCATCCACTGTCCAGGACAGGACTTCTCTCCTTTTTCATGGCTGAGTGATATTCCACTGTAGTTCTATGCCACGTGTCGTCCCACTTGTGTTCCTCTGGGAATGGACACTTGGGTTGTTTCATCTTTTGGTGATTGTCCAGTGATGTTTAACGTAATAGGAGGAACCAGCTCCTCTGTGATGTGGGGCCACTTTCATGACTCTTGATTCACCTGATTCCATTCTTTAGAAACAGGAAATCAGACAGAGCAACCGTGACCCCAGGACTCTGCATACGAGCAGGGGTTGGGCAGGATGCAGGGTGGATGGCTGAGGTTGCTCTGGACTTGGCAGAGTCGCACCGAGGGTCAGAGGGTCAGAGAGAGCACCCGGGAGGGCAGGTCACGTGTCTCAGGATTTCTGATTTGGTCATAAAAGAAATTTTTCATCACTCATTCATTCAACTAATAAAGTTTATTCTATCACTTACTCAGTTCAATATTATTGAAGAACATCAGGGAAAAATAAGCCCTTCCACCCAAACTTCCAGCCCCTACAGGCAGAGAGACAAGGAAATCGACTTTGACGTGCGAAAGGGTCACGTAGTCGGGAGAAGCTTGTCACGCTATGGGAACCCAGAGAGGGCCCTTCCCCTGGGCTCAGGACATGGAGGGGTCACCCCAGTGCCAAGGAGTTCAGAACAGAAGTCGGCCAGGTAGAGGAAGAGGCAGGAGGGCCCAGGCCGAGGGCGGGGCGCCCATGTGCCAGGCCCTGAGTGGCGAGCCTGCCGGGTGGAGACGTCAGGCTCATGTTTTAGACGAAGCTGCTGAGAACCGAGAGAGGCGCAACGGGAAGCCACTGGTGAGAGCAGGGGCCAGTTGGCAAAGGTCTGTGGACATAATCCCGGAGCAAAAGAGAAGCCTTGGTGGCTTTAAAGCAGGAGAGACATGCCCAGAAGAAAGCAGACCCTGTTCTTCCTTTGAGGAGCGGCCAGCAGAAAGTCCCAGGAGCTGCCTGCCTCTCTGAGTGCCAGGTCTGCTGGTAGCTTCTTGCACGTTCTCTCCGTTTACCCTCATGACAGCTAGCTGAGAGGAATGCCGAGGAAACCGAGAGCCAAAGAGAAACTCACCCAGGCCTCCAGGTATGGGCGGAGGGATTCACCAAGGCTGCTCAGAGTGTGTGTCTCTCCTGAGAACTGTTAGAGCTGCAGACCTTGGCCCCAGACCTCTGGATCAGAATCTGCCTCTTAACAGGACCCCCAAGTGGCTCCTGAACAAACTGAAGCTTGAGACGCACGGATGGGGACTCCCAGGACAGACTGTACCTTGAAGTCCCTTAGGAGCTGGGAACATGGGTGGTGACAGGCTGCACGCCTGGGTCAGGACATCAGACTGCAGGTCTGCAACACAGGCCTCGGAGTTTTCAAAGTCTCCCCCCACATCTCGGCCCTCCCCCGACATGGTGGTGCACCAGGCTTGAGCTATGCAGGTTACTCCTGCAAGGATCACAGCGGAACGGCCTTGAGCTGTCAGAAGCGCTGTGTCTTTAAGAACTGGGGCTGGCAGCCTCCAGGAGGCCCCAGCCACCAGACTGGCCTCAAGGGCACTGCTGCTGAGCAGGCCCAGACAGTCAGGCTGGGGCTGGCCTGGGCTTGCAGGCCCGAGCCCTGCACAAGGACAGGCTGGCAAGGAGCAGAAGAAAAGGGAGCTTTGTAAGCAGCATTCTGCAAGGCTGCAAGGCGGTGGAAACAAAGAGAGGAACTGTTTGTAGCCGACCAGACGAACCAAACAAACAGTAAGTCAGCAAGGCACTGAGCACAGCAGCCCTGCTCTGCCCCAGGCCACACCCACCCACACCTCCCACTTGAGGAGCCAAGGGGTCTCGAAAGGTCCCCAGCCCCACTTCCCCACAGCTGAAGGGGCAAAGCCACTCACAGGGCAGAAGAGTCCTGACATTCTCCACAGGAGGGCTGCTCCTCTCTGAGATGCCAGGCGCAGCTCACCGATGGGTGGCATCTGCCCACTGACCACACCTCTGGCCTGAGCAGCACTTCTCTCCTCTGCCGGCCCTCCCAAGTGGGCCTTTCTGGCCCATAGTAGCCCTGAGAAGACCAAGGTCCTGTGAAAGCTGAGAAAGTGAAACTGAAACTGACATGTTAATTGTCAGTCTGGGCTAACTGCTCAGGGTGAAGAGGAGAAGCTAGTGGTCAAAACCGGGCAGCAGTGAGGGTGCAGGGGCCCCAAAGTGGGGGCGCGAACTCCCCAGCACCTACAGGATACAAGCAGGGATCCTCGAGGCAGGAAGTGGGGCGGAGGCAGACGGAGGAGGTGCAGTCTGCAAGTCCTCTGGGAGCCTTCCTCTGCCAGGGGTGTGCCGACCTCGTCTGGGCCAGAGCAGGATGGAACCCCAAGCACAGGTGACTGGAGAGTGGTGTGACTTTGGGGCATCTCCCTATGCCCTCAGCAAGGCTGATTGAGCACTAACGGAGCCCACCTTAGCTCCTAGGGACTCGTGTGGACCTTATCGGGTGCTGGGGGAGGGCAGGGGAGAGCCTGCAAGCAGACAGATGGTCAGGCCCCTGGCCATAGAGGAGGGAAGTTAGTTTGCATTTCCAAGAGAAACGTGTATAAGCCTAGAGCACTGGAAGGAGAGGTCAGAGAAGAGAGTCAAAGAACAACTGGAGTGGCAGCAGGGTGAGGAAGGTGGGTGAGGCCAGGTGAGACAGGGCCAGCGGCCTGGTGGGGTAGGAGCCACAGTGTCCTGACCCGTATATAACGCTAATGAAGCACCTTTGAGACTCGGCTACACTTCCCTGCTGGACTAGATCCCAGGAGATCCCTGGGTGGCCCCAGCATGTTTTACTTTTAATGCAAGCACCCTTGGAAAATGGGGGAATGTTGTGTGTGACTAGAGAATTTGTCAGCATCATGCCCACATGGCAAGGCCAGCTGAGTGGGGAGCTGCCTGTTCAGCAAAGGCCCTTCTCGCTCACACTGGAAGCATTTTCTCCTCCACCCATCCCCACCTCCTGCACCTCCCAGGAGCCATCCCCACTCCCCACCTCCTGTACCCCCACCCCCACCCCCTGGTTCTCATTGGCATTGCAGATTGCTATGTTGTTCTGGGGAGTATTGCTTTTCTTCTATTGAAAGAAGTGTGGCGTTCTGTATGGGGGGACAAGGGGTGTGTTAAGCCAGAAACACAGGTATGCTCTCTTGCAGTTCATTTCAGTTACTCTCTCCCTCTTTCAGTTGAGGGTGACATGTGCAAAACCAAGCACCCCCTTCTCCTTAGCAGACTCTGCAGCCTTTGCAGGCCATCTGCCAGATTGCTAGATGGTATTTGCATTTAAAAAAAAAAAGAGTGTATTTTGTTTTTAGTTTTAAGGATTTCCCAGCCTGCCTTCAGGCATAATTTCCTTTCTGCACATATTATAGCTTTCAAAGCATTTCTTAAACATACAGGAATTTACGTCTCCATGAGGTCAGTAGTTTGAGGCCCCTTCCCTGTGCTCTTGTGGTGAAAAATCAACTAGTAGAGAAGTTAAATGACTTGCTTCAGTCTTGCAGTAATTTTGTAGAAATCTGTGTGGTCAGGTACAGCTCTCTGGAAAACTGAATTTTCTTTTTGACTGATGGAATTATTAAGTTACACCTTGAGGGCCTTCCTGGTGGCACAACAGGTTAAAGCACAGCACTGCAAGCTGCAAGCGAGTCACACCCACTGTGGGGTTGGATCCCAAGCCTGGAGGTGACCCACATGGCGCAGCAAACTCTCCTGGCCCACCCACTGCTCCCCTCAGCAGTGTACTTCATTAGTCGGCCTGTTCTTCTCCCCACTCTGTCTCTGGTGAATCCTCTCACTGCTCCTGCACCTCTGGTCTGTACCCAGTTCTGTATGCGTAAGTAAATAAATCTTAAAAAAAAAAAAATGCCTTGAAAAACAGTGACGAAGGATATGCTTTCCTTGTAGCATGTTAGTTTGACTGCTGGTTAGGCTACTCAACAGCTATGAGTGTTTAGATAAGTACTTAAGCTCCCTGTGCCCCCATTTTTTAAAAAATGGGGTTAACAGTCCTTAGCTAGAGATTGTTGTGTGGATTCAATGAGGTAATATATGTAACATATTTAAAACAATGCCTGGTACACAGTAAACTTTCAACAAATATTGCTATCAGTACTGAAATTATTATTTGTACTTTTGGGAAACACTGTATTAGTTCAGGTGCTAGGTAACTTGTTATAAGAAGACCCCACAGTACATTTGCTCTAAAAGGAAAGATGCTTCTCTTTCACCTTATGGCTAGGAGGCAGATGGTCAGCCCAGGCGTGGTGAATAGCTCTGCTCCATAGAGTCACTCAGGAACCCAGGTTCCCTCCACTGGGCTGTTGTCCATCCCGTAGAATATCCTTCTCCTCATATAGTCAAAGCTGACTTAATACACACCCACCTTCTGCCCTGCCTGGAGGGAGGAGGAGATGGAGGCAAAGAGTCCCCTGCTAAATGATGAAATCCAGAAACTGTCCATGTCCTTTCACTCATATCCCACTGGCCTGAGCTTTGGCACATTTAGCTGAGGTAAGCATGGGAAATGTAGTCTCTTGCTGGGCCAACCAAATATGCCCAGGAAATGTAGGAGTAATTCTAAACTAATAGGTAAAGAGGGAGATAGGAAAAGGGAGTGTTCGGGGTCTCTGTTCCTTTTGCTGCAGACCTTAATTGGAAGTGGTTTTGAAGTTGTGAATTCCTTTGCAGTCTGCCAGCTTCTCTGTCCCCCTTGGTCTATTTCTTGTCTATTGATGCTAGCTTTACCCTTAGGTTTGTTCCTCAACAAAATACAGGGCTGGCTCTTAACTCTGTCATATAAACACTCCTGGGGACCTTGCGATCATCTCCTGCAAGCTGGCCCACTGGGCGAGGCAGCCACTTTTCCAGTGTGCAGTGTGAGTTCCACACTCCCTTGTCACCAGAGAGGCGCTATCCTTGTCTTGATGGCTGAACTGAGAAAGGGCCCTGTGTTCTTTCCATGCCCGTGCGGTCGATCATCATGTGTTAAGGAGGGTGTCTGCTCCCCGCCTCAGCACCGAACCCCCATGGCTGTGACAGAGAAGCCAAGCTACTTGTTGGGTGGTTGGACAGACAGTTACGAGGTTCTGAATGTCTGTGGTCTTGGAGTTCACCATCCTTGACACTTACTTTCAACCTAATGATCTCAGGAAAGTAAGTGTCAAGGAAGAGGAACTCTAAGACCCTCAATGAAAGAATGTGTGGGTTCCTGTTATGACGTCATTACTGCAAGGGATTGAGATCGGCTCAGTCAAGGAAGAGGGTGCCAGTCATCGCAGGCTGCTTACTTCAGGACCAAGAAGGTGCCCTGATGAATATGGCCTAGCAGGCAGAGGGGAATCTATCCACTGAGAGCCCACTATGTGTCCTGGACCCACTGCTAGAGGCAGAAGTTAGAGCAGTAACTGACAAGACAGGTGCCTGGAGTTTACAGCCCACCTGGAGTGCTGTACTTCTGTCATCTCATTGACTCCTTTCAAGGTCTGCAAAGCGTGTATTTTTAATTTTTTATAAATACAAAAGTTGAGCTCATAGGGAAGTGGCAAGGATGGTTTTTGGAGCCCCTGTGTAATTCTAAAAAATCTTGTCCTTTCCATTATTATGTCAGCTGTCTCTAGTCACTTTGTTGAGGAGGGAATATAGTCCAGACCAGCCGCGAGCGTGGCCCCTCCTGACCCAGGGACACTGGACCCGGGAACAGGCTTTCTTCACGGTCGTGGTCCATTTTGCTGAATAACTCGCATTTCTTTATCCTTCTTTTCCACTTATTCCTCTGTATGAAATCTCCCAGCTGAACCCCACTTCTGGAACATTGCTGCCCTGCCTTCCTGGGGTACAGACTGCCACTGGAGAAATGGGTCCCCCACATCTGCTTGGGCCTTTACTATACTGGGTCCCCGAGGCTTCCTGGAAACCCTTACCTATACCTGTCCCGCTGCCGTCTCCACAGGCCCTTTCCTCAACCCTTTTTTTAAAACCTCCATTTCATTGTCAGTATCAATTCACTGTCATTGACTGAAATGCATCCTGCCCATTGATAAAACTACAAAACTGAGATTCCAGGAAACTCTCACAGGGCCACCCTGCCCATCCGGGAGGAGGTCTGCTCCTGCCCCCACTCACCTGCCCCCATGCTCCGGGCACCCTCTTATCTCCCCTGCACCCTCTTCCAATTTGCCAACTGTTCGCCAACATTTCCATTGCAACCTAAACATGCTCAGTCGCTCCAGGCTGAGAAATCTCCGGTCTTGATCCCCTATTTGTCTGAATTCTCTCTTCAGTTTCCCTGTCTTGCTCTTTCTCGTCAGAGCCCAGCTTCCTGAAAGAATCACCTACTCCAATGGTCTACACTGCCTACCTCCCCGACCCTGGCGGTCGATGTCGGCTGTCACCACATGCAAGGCCCCGACAAGGCCGTGCAAGGCAGCCAGGCTCCAGCTGGAGCTCTCCCCGGGCTGACTCACCTTTCTGGGTGCCAGTACCTCAGCAAGCGCTCACTCCTTGGGCCTCTTTTGCAGTAGCTCAATTCTCTCTGGGTTTCCACTATCTTTGCTGGACATTTTCCCCTAGTCCTCCCCAGGGCGGCCTTTTCCACCTACTCCCGCCTGTCCCTGTCCTGCCTCTGTCTCTGTCCCGCCTGTCCCTGTCCTGCCTCTGTCTCTGTCCCACCTGTCCCTGTCTCTGTCCTGCCCCTGCTCTCTGTCCCGCCGGCTGTCCTCACCCCGCTC